CGCAAATGTCGCGATGTCGCGTGTTGTGTGTCGCGTGTCGCGTTTTGGTTTATTTTGCCTCGCTTTACTTGTTTTTGAGAGGGCGACAATGCGACATAGTGACAATGTCCCTTCTCGGATTCCATACTTATTAGTATCCTACCACCAAACACCACCACCGCACTCTCTCTCTCTCACACGCACGCACGCGCCCTAATACTCACACTCACTCTAACACTCTGTAACACACACATCAGTCTTGGTTGATCTTTGCTGCATTAAAGCTAGGGATCATGTTGAAACTCTCATCATAAATGTTTGTTGTCAATTTCAAATATAGAGGAGTCAACATACTAGTGATTTTAACAGGGTGGGAAAATGCGCAGGTTTAGTCACAAGAAAAATCAACTATTGTTGACGTATAGAAAGGAGACAAAGAGCCGAGAGTACGAACAATTGTGTATTACTCAGTGTTCTACACTTACAGAGAATGCTTAGTTCTAAAGAAAACAGAATGCCCAATGTTCACCTAAGGCACCGATATACGAACCTTTCAAACCGACATAATGAAAGGCACACATGTTAATAGTGCAGCCCTTTAAATTGCATGTGCCCAGTCAGGGGTATCACTTTGCCTTGAGTTTCTAATGATCTCAATACATTATGGACCGATGTGACAGATATAATTTATGCTCGAAATGCAATTTTGACTATACATAGTAACCATCTTTATTAAAGCGTTTATTCAATATATATTCATATATTAACAAGAAATTTGCGAGCAACTAATTTTGAAATATAGTTTCAATTTAGTGAAAGTAAACTACTAACTACAAAGGGTTATTGCATTTGCTAATAGAAGAAGAAGAAGAAGAGCTTTATTCAGTATTTATGGCCACATGACCAAAAGTACAATTCAATATGCAAAATATAGAACATGGTCAGGAGAACAATTTACAATTTATACAGGTAAATATAGTTTAAGATAAATTGCAATATTTTTTAGGAGTTTTACATTCTTTGTTGCAAGCAGCTGGGTAAACTTTGATCTGGTTGGAGATATAATATAAAAATCAGGAATGTACAAAGAGCGTTGTTGTGAATAAAATGGACATACGAGTAAGAAATGATACTCATCTTGTATCAAATTACAATTACATTTATCACATTTAATGGAATCAGCATTTACCTTATTAAAACGGTTGTGTTGAATTTTAAGTTTATGACTCATGCATCTGAATTTAAATAAAACTCGTAAGAGATCTTTATCATAGCAAAACTCTGATATATATTTTTCCGGTTCAAGTACAGATTTATATGACGAGTAATGATTTAAGAATGATGAAGAAGTGATTTTTGCATACCAATTCTGTATATCTATATCTTTACATCTCTGTTTAAAACACTTATAAAACTTGTTACATCGCCACAATCTTGCGATAACCACACAAAAGAAAACCCAGAGTGAAATAAAAGTAAACGTACATGGGATACCCAATTGCGACCACCATTGTCGTCGTATGTTTTTAACATCTCATAGCATGCCTTTGGAATACGATAACTTTCCATATTCAGGAGTCTACACCAGTACTTTATACAACGGGTGAAATACTGTACACAAAGATGGCTTCTACCTGTTTCACCGAGTACAATATTTGAAGATACAGTTTTGCTAACACGAAGATATCTTTTGAAATAATAAGTTTGTAATTTTTCAATGTTTGCACGATAGGTAAACCCCCATATTTCTGCACCATAAAGCAGAATCGGTGCAATTTTGCTGTCAAATATAGTAGATGCCACATTCAAAGAGATATTTTGATAAGTTCTGAAAAGAGAAAATATCGGAAATGAAGCCTTCCTAGCTTGTAAAGCTAATGTTTCACATGCTTTAGACCAGTACAATTTTGATGTGAAAACAATGCCAAGATATTTATAATGAGATAAAACCTTCATGTTTGTACCATCATAAAGCCATTTTTCGTTATTTCGAAGATAGCCACCATTCCTGAAAACAATAATGCAGGATTTATCTAAGTTAACTTCTAGACCCCATTTGATACAAAATGATTTTAATGTATCCAGCTTTTTTTGTAAACCTATTACTGTGTCATCAATGAGAGTGACGTCATCTGCGAATAACAATAAAAGTATATCATTCATACCATTTTTCACAAATATTCCACGTAGGCCACGTGCATTCATTTCATCTACTAATTCGTTGATAAAGAAAATGAACAGAACAGGACTGAGAATACATCCTTGTCGTAGTCCAGATATTGTCGAGAATACTTCTGTTCGTACACTAGATATTTTCACACAAGCAGATACCTTATCATACATATTTTTGAGGATTCGTATTATTTTCCCATGCATACCTTTGGAGATAAGTGCATATAAAAGCTTGTTTCTGTCTATATAATCAAATGCCTTCCGAAAGTCAATAAAAGCTGCGTAAAACCGATGTTTACGTTTTCTTAAATACTTTTGGCATAGAGCTGCAGAACGAACATATTATCAGCTGATGAGTAATCGGGCCTAAACCCTGCTTGACATTCATGTAGTATATCGTTTAAATCTAACCAGATACGGATTCTGACTTCGAGGATAGAAGTGAATATTTTCCCCATTACATTCAACAAAGAGATTCCACGATAGTTATTTGGTTCGTGAGTGCTTCCTTTTTTATAGAGTGGAATGATCAAGCCAACATTCCAGATATCAGGGAAAATGCCGCTGTCCAGTATAGCATTAAACAATATTTCTAGGTAGGGAAGTATGCATTGAGAATGTTTGAAGAATTCGGGTGGTGTTCCATCAATACCTGGGGATTTACCAGATTTTAACACTTTGATTGCATTTTCTATTTCTGTTCTGGTAATTGGTGCAGATAAAAAGTCAGTATTGTTACAGTCCGCACAGTAATCATGCTGTGTCAAAAATGCGTCAACATTCTCATTGAACTCCATATTTGTTTCCCGACACGTCGGGTTTAACAAATTCTTAAAATATGTCACCCACTTATCTGCCGTAATTGTGTTATTTTCATTACAATTGCTCAGTAGAGATTTTATCTTATGCCAGAACTTCTTACAGTCACCACTTTTAGCTGCACTCTGAATCTCATCAGCAATACCACAGTTAAACATTCTACTTTTATTTCTGCACAAGAGGCGAAAGTGTCTCTTTGCTTCAATGTATCTGTTTAGATTTTCATTTGATCTGCATTTGCGGAACATATTAAGCCAGTAGAACTTATATCTTTTTTGAACTTTCGCATTCTTCATCAAACCAATTAGGTTGAATATTCTTTGATTTCGGGATCTGAACATCACGACATTGAAAGTGACTTCCCACAAAGTGGAGAAACTCAACAAGTTTCTCGGTGGCACCATTGATATCAGAATAGACTAGATCAAGAAACTCATCTAATATACAACTCGCTGTACTAGACGCTACAGACTCATTGAACTTGTCTAAACCACCATTATTCCACCTGAACTTTGCGAGTTTTTCACACTCTACATGACGAACACTGGTTAATAGCGAGTTATCACCACAATCCTCGACGGATACCTCTACAATGCACGATAGAGGCAGGTGGTCAGAGTCTGACCGCGAGTGGACAAACATATCCCTAATCAAGTAAAAAACAGCTGGTCGACGCCAATATAAAATCAACAAGGCTTGAGCCATTGTGTGTGATACATGTAATAGACCCAGTTTCATCGCCTTGTGTCCTACCATTAACTATATGTATACCCCATACCTTGCACACTTCTAGCAGAGCCAGGCCATACATATTCACTGTAGTGTCTTGTGTTACTCTAGTTTCACTGAAACTGTCGGGAAGATACAAATCTGATAATGGTAAGAAGTTCAAATCACTATCATCTTCCAACAAATAATCATCGTTTGAGCCCACCCTCGAATTGAAATCACCTAGCAGTATTATAGGAATAACACGATTGTGAAACTTCCAAACAACTGGGATCACTAAGTAGCATCTTTCTGCATTTTTCCGGGGCAATGTGATAACCGACTGGTTAAACCGTTTGCTCGTCACGTCGTTGTCGTCGTCGTCGGTTAAACATGGGTACAGAGTGCGAAGCCCATTTCTTGTGTACCCCGCCATGATATTGCTGGTATTCCTAAAAGCAGCATAAAACCGGGTCAAATACTTACAATGGCTATGGGTTACATCAGATGTCAGGGGAATTGGCCCATTGCGTATAAAGTGCCTTAAAAAGCTGACCCTAAGTTCGCATCATACAACACGATAGTCTATTGCAACATACTATTGCGACCAACTATTGCAAAACAATTGTAATAGTTTCTCTCTCCTTGAATTGTCTCATTTGAAGTCGAATGTATAGGTTATGTGAAATAAAAAAACAACAACCAAAGTAGTTTCAGTCTCTTTTAATAACTGACAAGAAACTTGACACCCAGATCAAGTTTGTTTAAGAGGTAACAGGGGCGGATAACTCTAAATCCAAGTGAACGAATCTGGTACTTCCTGTATTTTGTGCTGCGCATTTATCAACAGAAGGCAATTCCTAAACTATCGATAGTCACACATACTATCGATGCATCGATAGTTTTTCTTTTCTTCCATCGATTAATTGCTATCGGAGACTCAAGTGCAAAAGTTCGATGCATCGTAACAGTCCTACAGCTTGTTCAGCTTGATCAGTTGATTGTGAACATGTCCGAACAGCCGAGTCAAGGGCGCCGTTTGACATCTCAGTGTCGAGAAATCGTCAGCAATGTCCTAACTCTCTTTAAAAAGTAGGTACAGATGGTTTAATGTTTCCGATTCGAGCTTTTAGGCAGCAGCAACTGGTGTTTCCAGTGCAACCCTGGTCCGAATAGCAACATCACACATGTTAATAACATTCTCTGCTCCCCTATTTAATGAAATTAACTCGACCTGCCAATTGTGCCATTTGACCTCCCGGGTAATGCATATCTAGAGTAGCTCAGGTCAAGCTAAACAAGCTGTAGTCTAAAGAATAACATTAGATCTGATCTAGGAAACCCAACAAAACTGCGCCAAGTGTCCCTGACAGTAGAGCCACTTCCACCCAAAACAGGCAGATATTTACCCTCCTGTGAATAGGCTGGGTTTGTTTTTCCTTTCGAATTTCTCTTGATTCGCCAGAAACACCATACACGAAGCGTTCATCTCTGCTGCCAGTATTCGCCCTTTCTTTGTCATTGTTATTGTTTGGATTGTCCCCCTGTGGTGTTGCATTATCTCCCTTTTCGAAGTAGAGCAGGACGATGCACACATTTCCGAGAACTGCAACGAAGCTTAGGAACAGCATGGCTGTTACGTACACGGCTGAAAGAATAAAGTATACGTGTTAAAGAAGAAATTAGCTTGAAACGACCGGGTTTCTGGTCAGCAGTGTTCACAGTGACCTGTTACCGCCAAGAGGCGATTGGGTGTTTGTATTCGCCCACAGCCCACAGATGTAAATTGAATCGGGATCTAATCATCCACTGCATGCCAAAATTAGGATACGATCACATCCACGAATGATACACAAATTCTTGTTAGAAACGAAATTTACGAAACTCGTGAACTTCCTAATGGTGGCTGATTTCGTTTGTCTTAGATCACCATGATGAGATCGTCTTGACTGAACGCAGCCATTTTGGAGCAAATGTAACTTATGAAATGTGAGAAACGCTGATTGAGTGAGCGAGTAAGTTGCATTTTACGCTGCTTTAGCAATATTCCAGCAATATCTCGGTGGGGGACATGAGAAAAGGGCTTCACACATTGTACCCATGCGGAGAATCAAACCTGGGCCTTTCGTCTGATGAGCGAATGCTTTAACCCCAAGGCTCGCCCACCACCCGAACCGAATTCTGATTGATCAATAGCAGAGACAAAGATGGGACAATACGAATGATTGAATATTGTTTTTCGACGCATCATCAATTTTCCAGCAATTCGTGGCGGTATAATAGGGGGGACGTGAAAGGGACGTGACCCATAAGGGCAACTACGAGCGCTACGATAGATGTACAAAGTTTCAGCCTAACATTCAGCAAGTTAACTCTCTACCCTAGGAATCATGGCCTTCATTTAGCTGGAATATTGCAATGTGCAGCATTGAAAAAACACAAGCGAATCAACTACATATACTGAAGGTGTACATACCCTTCACCTACCTAGAACAGAGACGGATGTTGAGACTTTGGGGATGGCAGAGTCAATTACTCCCAGGTACACTGTGAACGACAAAAGTGTTGTCATGGAAACCGACATCTTCTCCCCTGAACTTGCAGGAATGAGAAAGCTGACAATACACAACAGGGACAAGATGAAGATGGGTAGGATGAGAACCAGGATGTAGTAGACAGGTCGACGATCGAGCTTTAGTCTGAACACCATTGCCTCGTAAATTGGGTGCTTCTCAACTTCAGCGATGTGAACGTTGTACTCACCGTTCTGGGTCAGAGCAGTGTCATCTTGTATGGGAATATGCTTAAGGACCATTTCACTTCTGAAATGCATCCAGGTATATATTTTGATTTCACAGTTCTGAGTATCAAAGGGATAGAGGCGAATGTCGACTAGGCAAAATGTCTCCAGAGTGAATCCAGGGCTGAAATTGACAGTTCCATTACTGGAAATGCTGGCAAGGTTCTCTCCATCCCACAATGATCTCTTCTCACTCACTCTAAAACGAAAGAAATATTTGTACAAATGAATATTAACAAAATACAAACAGTTTATTTTGTTAGACGGCACATTCCTGTCATGTGTGTGAGTGAGTATAGTTTTACGCCACATTCAGCAATATTACACCTAAATGGCGGCGGTCTGTAAATAATCGAGTCTGGAACAGACAATCCAGTGATCAACAGCATGAGCATCGATCATGCAATTGGGATACGATGACGTGTGTCAACCAAGTCAGCAATCATTTCTAACCCGTATCTTCACGGTCCCTCTCTGAAAGAAAGAAAGACAGTCTGTTTGGTGGAAGAACATGAATAAAACTAATGACGACAAAGGCTGGTATGATAATTTACGAATGAACGAATCTTATCTGCACACAACTGCAGGATTACTTAAAAGCTAGTGACCAAGCTGTTCGCCAACCTTTAGATGTAAGAATGAAAGTTGCAAAGGCAATATTCTTTATGGTTTCAACTTCAGAATATAGAACTGTGGGAAATTTATGAAGTCCACCGTTTGTAAATACATTCATGACGTTTGTCAGACAACATGTGATGTGTTTCTTCCAGAATATGTAACTTTTCTCCTAAATGAAGATGACATGATACAATATACTCACAGTGCAAATTTGCACATGTTTAAATACACTTTTGCACCTGGTCCTGACCACATGTAAATTTGCTCCTAGTGTATATTTACATACGTGAGTAAATGCGTTCACATGACACATTTACACACGTATGTAAAGTTTGCTCATGTTTGTATTTATACATAAATGTACAAACAGGTGCATGTGAATGGGGCTTTAGAACTACATGTAAAACCAACAAGCAACAAAGCAATGTGATATATGACCTGCAACCAAGACCACGAATGTGACAAAAAATTAGACATTCCCAGAAATCTCACAAGTTCCTTTTTGTTTTGAGGAACTGAGAATTTAAAAACAGAGTCCACCTTTGCTTGGACCGGCTGTACCCGACCTTGGCCTATGAGGCGGAATAAAATTTGTGTCTGCTTGCTAAATTTACAGGCATCTTGGCTTCAATGAATCTTTTGGAGAAGGCATGGATCTGTTTCAGGTGTTAGTCCCATTCCATGGAACGAGTGATGGTATCATCGATGTAGGCATTCCTCTGACCAAATAGCATAACTTTGTAATCACAAAAGTCCATCTGGAGTCACAAAAGCTGAAAAGCAATTGGCAATCCCTTATAGTGGAATTTGCCAATACCCTTTCCTGAAGTCAATCTTGCTGATATACTTGGCTTGACCGATTCTGTTGATGCAGTCACTGGCTGTTGGTATGGGGTAAGAATCCGTTTTAGAATCAGTGTTCACACGTTTCAAGTCGGTACAGTATCTGTTACTTCTATCAGGCTTCGGCACAAGAATACAATGGGAAATTCCGTCACTTTGACTTGGTTCAATAATGTCATTATCCAGCTTGTATTGAAAATCCTTCTTCAAGACTTCAAGTTAATCCAGTAGTGATGCTGTTTCAAAGGCACAATATGTCCCTGTCTCATAACAACAGGTATTGCTAAAGTTTAATCAGTCTTTGCTTGAGCATGCATGTCAGAGAAATGGAAGACTTTTAATTCTCGGCGATTTCAACTTTCATTCTGATAACAACGAAAGTGCTGATATGAAGATAATGAATAAGCTGTTTGAGATTCATGACTGCGTCCAGCATGTGACTGTCCCCACACATAAGTCCGGACATATCCTGGACTGGGTGCTGATATGGGTCGCTGAGGAATGTGTCCGTGATGCTCTCCTCGTCCCCTAGAGTCTATAAGTTGCAGGAACATCCGCAATATGGATATAGAGGCGTTTAGACAAGACTCAACAAACTCTGAATTGATATTGAATCCTCCAGGTAACTGTGAAGATCTTGTTGCTCAGTACAACCGTGTTTTGACAGAGCTACTTGACAAGCATGCCCCGGTAAAGATCAAGAAGATTCCTGATCGTCATGAATCAACATGGGATGTCACAACAGAAGTTGTAGCTGCAAAACGTAAAAGACGCAGAGCAGAGAGACTTTGGAGAAAATCCAGATTGGAAATACATCGGTAGCTGTATGTACGACAATCTGGATATTCTGCTGCCTCCCATCTCCAAATTTGTCAATCTATCAACAACTTCCGGTTCTATGCAGCAAGACTTCAATGCAGCTATAGTCAAGCCCTTATTGAAGAAATCTGGACTCGACATAGAAAATCTGAAGAACTATAGACCAGTCTCCAATCTGTCTTTTGTATCGAAACTTGTTGAGAAGGCTGTGAGCTGTCTGAACATCTTAGCAAGCACAATCTCCATGAACCCCTTCAATCTGCTTATAGACCTCGCCATAGCACTGAAACTGCCTTGTTGAAAGTTCTGAATGACATACGGTGTGGTGTGGACAATGGTGACGTTGCTGTTCTAATTCTTCTTGATCTAAGTGCAGCTTTTGACACGATTGATCATAACAACCTTTTGACACGTCTTGACTCACAATTCGGAATTAGGGGATCGGCACTGAAGTGGATTCAATCCTACTTGACAGATAGAACACAGAAAGTAGTCAACAATGGAATCTCATCTAGTCCTGTTCAACTTCAATGCGACGTCCCACAAGGATCGGATTTGGGATTCACACTGTTCAGTCTTTACACCAGACCTCATGGCAACATCAGCAACATCAGCTCAATGCCGAGAAAACTGAAGCAATTCTCATTGGTCCATAACAGAGGCGTCAGAAATGCCAAATTCACTCGATGAGAGTGAACAATTCTACCATACCTCTGTCATCTCATGTGAAATACCTCGGGTTTGATATCGATTCTGATCTTAGTCTGGACAAGCAAAGCAGTCACCTCTCTAAAGTCTGCAACCTGCAATTAAGGAACATCGGCAATATCAGACCCTGTCTCACTAAAGAAGCTACGAAAACGCTGACTCTCTCGCTCTCTTATCATTTCTCCCCTGGACTATTGTAATAGTCTTCTCGCCGACTCTCCAAATATCAACCTAAACAGAGTCCAAGGGATTCATAATAAAGCTGCTAGCCTTGTCACTCTGTCACCCATGTCGAACCACACCACACCCATCCTCCAAGAACTCCACTGGCTTCCGGTAAAACTACGGATCGACTTTAAGCTCCTTTGTCTGGCACTCCAATGCTACTCTCAAACAGCGCCACAGTGCCTCTGCGACTTACTTCCATTGTATAGTCCCACCAGAACAGTTCGGTCTGAATCCAAACATCTGTTTACTGTTCCAAAAGTGAAACTCTCCAGTTATGGGAAGAAATCGTTCGCATATGCTGCAACCACTGCCTGGAACAATCTTTCCCTTGATGTCCGCAAATGTCAAACCTGTTCTGCCTTCAAAACATCTCTCAAACCAATCTTTTCCGACAAGCTTTCTTCTGATCAATCTTCACTGCACTTTGAGCATAATATACAAGTATGGAAAAAGCGCAATACAAATCCACTATTATTATAATACATTTCCAAACATTCATGGTTCAACTTCAAAATGGTATGAATTTTGAAAAGGTGATTGACATCATGAGCATCAATACCAACGCTTTTGGATACGATGGCACGTTTATTTAGTACCCTGATCACCCTATCCTGTCAGTCGTTTGTTCGAGAAGCATGATTTTTTAAAGAGAAATTCTAACCCGAACCTTCGCAGGCAGTGGCAGTTGTTGGCGTCAGTGGATGGATATACTGATCAAATCAGGGTAAAGAGAAAACCTCCCAATGCCCACACGAAAACAAACTGATGTTCCATACTAAGGGCAATACGAATCGTTTCCAGTAGGAACGCTAAATGACATTAATACTCACATGTTCGTTGCTACTAGATCTGGAAGCCAGATGTTGGAACTGTGGACCTTGATCACAGACAAGCCACCATAGTCATCTGGATTCCAGGTCAGAATCTCGTCCTGCCAGGTCTACACACGTACAAAATGTAGAGATCGTGCCAGGAGACCGTGCCAGGAAATACACAAGCATGCAATATACTAGCTAAATTTGTTCGGCATGTACATAGTCTAGCTTCCCTCGCTTCGGTTCGGAAAATATTTATAATATCAAAATAGATATCACCATCTAAGGTTGACACCCATTTCCTCACAGGGTTGTGCTCTCAGATTTCAAACCTCAAATTTAATAATTACTCATTTACAATATATTTAATTCGCAATTTTAAGCGCCACTCGTGGCATGTAAAATCGTTCTTCGCCTCCATTATCCCTGTCGGCTTCCGTTTCAACGGCGTGAAAGAACAAGAATAAGAAGAAATTAAAAAGAAACATGACATTGCCTAATTTTACCATTAAACGGTTGGAGTTTATTTTTCTTATCTGCCGTCATTATTGTCAAAATATTCGTAATTTCGTAACACTTATTCAACAAAACGCACTCAGACTGGCGTATCGGCTGAATGAAAGCAAGGAAGGTAACTCCGCAAGTATTCCCCATGGAGGACATGTGATTCAACAAGTATATTTAACTCCCCTGTTCCTTCACTCCGTTGAACCGGAAGCTGGCAGGGGTAATGGAGGCTTCGTTCGCATATAGAAAAACTGGTAATTTTCTCTTTGTTGCGCAACCCTATTTGCGCTACAGTTTGCCTGTGAGTCAAGTCTGGTTTAGTGATTGTTGTTGCGGGCAAAGTCCAAGGTTTTGTAGGTACGATTACCCAACCAACCAACCAACGTCACCGAGACTGACCTCATGCCTCCGGCCACTCAAATGCAACTCAACTACATTACATCTTATTTCCTCTACGTTTCTTATTTAGAAAAAGAGGTATAACATTTGCAGCTGCATCCTTTGCGTTACACGTAGACAACCTGGAGGAACGTTTACGACTATCCAGCAGGTGCAAAATACATATACAGAAACTCTCTCTCTCACACGCACACAAACTCACGCACACACACATACAGCGCCTTGAGCATGTAACAGTTGCGTGAATATGTGCGCTATATACATATCCTATATTAAATAAATAAATAAATAAATAAATAAATAAATAAATAAATAAATAAATAAATAAATAAATAAATAAATAAATAAATAAATAAATAAATAAATAAATAAATAAATAAATAAATAAATACAGAGACACGTACATACAGACTCACATACAGACACACATACATAAACAGACAAACACACGCAGACATTTGACGACAACTTGGCAACAATACGCCCACGTACGCCCTCTCTCAGACACCGAAGGTGTGGTTGGGTAGCCTAGTGGTTAAAGTGAACGATTGCCACACCAGAGACAAAATTTGATTCCTCACATGGGCACAATGTGGGAAGCTCATTTCTGTTGTGGGGCGGTGAGGTAGCCCAGTGGTTAAAGCGTTCGCTCGTCACGCCGAAGACCCGAGTTCGATTCCCCATATGGGTACAATGTGTGAAGCCCATTTCTGGTGTCCCCCGCCGTGATATTGCTGGAATATTGCTAAAAGCGGCGTAAAACCAAACTCACTCACTCACTCATCTCTGTTGTATCCAGCGGTGACGTTGCTGTAATGTTACAAAATGATAATCCTTTCTATTACAGTATACCTGTGTGAATCTCATTCCTGGTGTGTGGCCTCTACTGTGATGTTGCTGGAATATTGCTGAAAGCGGCATAAAACTAAATTCACTCTCTTAGGCACCACGTGATTATTACCATATAAGTGAGTCCTGTGGTTCTCATTGTCTGCGTTTTCAAGTCCTGCAAACATATAATATGCATGCATGTTAATTATTGTGGTGTATCTTATACCCATACTCTTATACTCTTTTTGCGCAGGCTGTTAGGTGCCTCAATCTGAGAGTGTGGGTTCAAATACCGGATGAGACTCAATCCCAAATACTGCTAGAAACTGAGAAATTTTAATTCCATATCTAACCTACATTACTTTTGACCACCTTTCAAAAGTATTATCTTTTGGTTCAAAATTACACTAAGTACGACTACACCATAGCAAGATGCTTCAGTACCTTGCATGTCTACATTGGTATTTGGCTTTCTCTACGAAAATCGGGGCGGTGGGGTAGCCAAGTGGTTAAAGCGTTCGCTCGTTACGCCAAAGACCCGGGTTCGATTCCCCACATAGGTAAAATTCGTGAAGCACATTTCTGGTGTCCCTCGCCGTGATATTGCTGGAATATTGCTAAAAGCGGCATAAAATTAAACTCATCCTCTCCACGAAAATCGGTACGATGGTAGACCGATGTTTGCTGGAGCAGTGTGTGTGGTTCTAACTGATGAGGTGGTGATAGGCAGATGCGTGTAGATACAGTCTGGTTCGATATGTTCAAGTGATGTTAGACCGATGTGTAATGATATGATGTGATTGAATTTGATGAGGTGATGGTAAATTTAAATATGATATATATATGTTTTATAGCTTAAGTTGATGAAATTTAAATTTGATGACACTAAATAGAAATCAGGAAATCATTGGCTGTATTTAGTTCAGTTATCAAAGGGCGAGTGCACATACCAGACCATGGACGACGAATATCTGAAGGTCAAGGGCGACGCTTATTGTCTGACTTTGGTTCAGGAGCGGTCGTACAGTGACGCTGTAGTTCTGAAACAGGTCCTGCTGTAGTCGAACGGCCTCGCCATAGCTGGCTGGAGCAAATGTACAAATAACCAGTACAAATACACTATACAGGGACGTGGAAATAATGAAATAATGTTCATGAATTCTATTCCTTCGGCACGAGAACACATACACTAAACGAAAAATGAAACGTTACCCTCCTACCTTAATCAATTACTTAAAAACTATCAAAGATATGTTAGCAGGTATTAGTTTACAAGAAAGCTTAACAACACAGCTTTATGCAAATCACAATAATAATTTCTCAAATGGATTCATATTTAGGTGAAATGCATCTGTTTCAGAAGAGTTAAATTGTCCTATTTTCGTCCATGCCGAAACAAACCGATAACAGTGATTTAGATGTCCAAAAGAAAGGTTGAAGTATAACTCCCCTTTAAAACAAAGATAACCATTTAAAGTCACGATTTTGCAGCTATTAAAGCAAGGAACAGCTATTGCAGAGTGTGTAAAACTGTAAAAGAATCATTCCTATGATTTCAGTCTTTTAAAACATTTTCTGCTGATTTGCATGAGTGAAAACAAGTAAAACGTGTCTTTGATATTGTGAAAGAGTGTTTAGGAACATCGACAATTATCTTGGTTAACATTTTTGCTTGCAAAGTAACATTTTTAAACGTCATATGTTGGCCAATTTCCGGGTGTAATTGAGTATTTAAAGCACGGGAATTCATTTGGAACCGACGGCGTCAGCCGGGGGTTTCAAATGAAATATTGCCGTGCTTCAAATACTCAATAACACCCGGAAATTGGCCAACACATGATGTTTGTCGACATTGTAAACACAAATTTAAACCAAAAGGTTCACACACGTTTTTTGTGTCTGCACTCATTGACATCGAGTACGGGTACAGCAGTGCAATGTCATCAGCCGGCCGTTTCGGCTGTCTCCCATGGTAGCATCTGGAACTGCTTATTCGGACTTTACATCACAATATCATTTTAATGACATCATCACAGCTGACGACGTAACAATACAATGCTGTGAGCGATGTTTTTATGTATTAATTCGCAGCGAATTTCCGGGAATCGAATACCATTTGCTCATGTTTTTCAACCAATCAGATTAAAGAACACAGTGACGTTTGGTTTACAAGTACAAATAGCAATATCAGTCGCCAAAACGTAGCAATATTCAAGCAGTATTTACAACCATTTCACGTGTAAAATGATTCTATCTCGTATAAAGAGAAACTAGAATGCATGATGTGATACACAAGTACCAGAAATATGCAACGATTAACAGCTGAAGAGAGAGAGAAAAAGCCATTGGGATGGTGCAGATGGGGTCGACATGCAATGCTGTTCCCAACGCCCTCGGATGCCACCGTATCACGGTTATAAGACTTATTCAGCGCTACAGACAGACTGGGGTCACCGTAGACAGACCAAAAAGTGGACGTCCACGCATCACAACGCCAGCTAAAGATAGGTACCTCCGTCATTAACGATGGAGGGTAACGTTTCTTTTGGCGATTAGTGTAGTCTGCTTCCAGGCCCTAGAGAATAAATTAAATAGCAGTCCTACTCAATTCTAGAAAAATTTGGCAAATCTAGCCTGGCAGAGCTCCAGAAGTTAAATATTGTTCCGGTTTCCATTTCGATTTGTTTTGGAGATAAATATTTTTCAAATATATTTTTTTCTCTGGGAGTAAATGTCTCATGATTGAAGGGATTCATTAATGCATAACGCAACGGCCATTTGTGAATTCAGCCGGCCTAGTGCTAAATAATTACACCTAGTGTGACCCCCAACACACACGTTTCGTCGTACTTCGAATTACCAGGACGGAGATGATTATGAACACTAGAAAGAGCCAGACCCTCTTTGATATGACGTCCAGTGCACTATCGATAGAATGCTCCTTGATTACGACATACAGTGTTGGCATAACAAAATATGTTTTTGAATAGAAATACAGTCGTACTACAGAGCTAACAAATATACTATTCAAATTGGATTTAAATATCTAAGCTTATTGTTAGCATGGATCCTAGGTTTCAGTGTGTCATTTCATCTTGTGGAACCCATACTTGCTACAGACAGGTGTTGTGTACTTGTCAATGACTCGTTCTATGGTTTGCAAAATGGTTGATTGGTGCCATGAAAACCATTTTTATGGTTTCTCATGAATCAAGTGCAAAAGGTTAGATTAAAAAAGAGTGGTTACCATATTATTATTTATCCATTTTTAAATGGATACAATTTCAAATTATGAATCTAAAGCTGTGAATTTTTGTGATCCTTAGCAAAGTGTTAGTAGTATATATACTCCTTGAAAAGACATACATTTGTAAAACAACCGTTCACTCTCTGATATTGAAGCACAGAATGGTATAACAACGAGATACTCCTTGGTTAGAAATACAGATGTAAAGCAACAATTCACCGTACCCTTTGATATATTGAAGTACAGAGTGGGCTAACGATGAGGTGCTCCTCGATCAGAAATACAGATGTAAAACAACCATTCACCCTTTGATATTGAAGTACAGAGTGGGCTAACATCAAGACATTCCTTGATCAGAAATACGGTTGTCAAACAACAGTTCACCCTTTGATATTGATGTACAGAGTGGGCTAACATCAAGACATTCCTTGATCAGAAATACGGTTGTCGAACAACAGTTCACCCTTTGATATTGATGTACAGAGTGGGCTAACATCAAGACATTCCTTGATCAGAAATACGGTTATCAAACAACCGTTCACTATTTGATATTGAAGTACAGTGAGTGAAAAGTATTAAACTCATCTTTCAGGTAGACATTATCTTTTGATCTATCCAATACAACTAGGATACGGTGACCTGCATCAATCAAGTCAGCGAACAAGACCACCCGATCTCCTTAGTCGCTTCTTAAGACAAGCATAGGTTGATGTAGGGATCTTCACGGATTACTAACACAAAAGGTATTACACCGTCAGGTTATGTACTGGATAAGTCGTCATGGAGTGTTGAAATCCACTGTTTTGATGCCTTGTTGACATGCATGTGTATAGGGTAAGAAAACAGGCAACTGACGTAACTATTCACAGGTTTAAATAAACAACCCAAACTTTGTCATTACCTGCATAAACGCCCAACTTCCACGCGAACAGCAGCAGGATTGGGAGACACATCCTGGCTAAGGGACGATCCACTGGATTGTATCTACGCATCACAGTGACGCATTCAGTACAGCAAATACGAAATTCTGTTTCAACAATGTTTCAGCAAAGTTATTTGTTTTGTAGATAATGCGTGGTTCTTCGACAAAAGAGTTAATGGGCGCCGCGATTGGTTTTATTTATCTTGCACTTTGTTAAAAGGGAACATGCATTTTAGTGAGACTTTGTTATGCTATGAAGTTCAAAGCTAACAACGACTAAAATAATTGCAACCTGGTTACAGTTATTTATTGATCCATTCAAAGCTAAAGGTATATTGTATGGAATCCGAGAAGGGACATTGTCGCTATGTCGCATTGTCGCCCTCTCAAAAACAAGTAAAGTGAGGCAAAATAAACCAAAACGCGACACGCGACATCGCGACAACGCGACATTTCATCAAAATGTCGCGTTGTCGCATTGTCGCGTGTCGCGTTTTAGTAATGATTTTAGGCTGTTTTTACACATCTTACATAGTGCGACGCGCGACAACGCGACCTTGAAAATTGTCGCTTTGTCGCCCTTTGTAGGAATAAAAAAAATATATTATTCAAAACGCGACACGCGACATCGCGACAATGCGACAAATGGGCGAAATGTCGCGTTGTCGCGTGTCGCGTTTTGGTTAATTTTGCTTGTACTTGAGAGGGCGACAACGCGACAATGCGACAACGCGACAATGTCCCTTCCAGGATTCCATACATAACGGTGGTATAACCTACACCAAAACGTCGCTCTCACTGTAATACAGAAGATGTTCATACATACATGTTTATCCTTTCTCACTTCTTTCTCCAACAAGTAAATGCCCCTCTAACAAGGCAGACTAATTATGAACGACTAGTTTATAACTCGGACAATATATATATATATATATCTTATCAATGCATTACCTTAATGCATCAACTTCATATACAACTATATACATGGACAAAACTATAAAGATGACCTGTTGGCAAGTGGACTTACATAATGATATAGAAAAGGGTAGACAAAGCAATGCTCTTGTCATTAGGGTGAAAGTGGCAACTGTGAGGTTGGTAGTTATAAAAGTTCAAGGGTAAATCTATTGTTACTTTTGGTATGCTGTTTTAGTGCCACACAAACAAAATTTAGAATCTTGGCATCATGACGTAGGATTGGTACGTTTGCAATTGCAAAACAATGCATGTTCGGTTTATTTACTCGTCCATTACACTTTCGTTGAGTGTGTAAATGTGGTGGTGTGTGGTCCTGTGCAGAGAGCGCAGGTCACAAATCAGTTGAAGTTAAGCAACGTTGGTCACGAAGAGTCTTTGGATGGGTGACCGTGTTTGGCAGCTTGACTCCTGGGAGTTTCTAGGACTTCAGTCCTGCCCACAATGATACATGATACATGTGGTCTTACCTTAGGCAGTGAGTTTGTTAAAAACTGCCTCTGTTCACCCAGCAGAAAATGGGTACCCGGTGGGATAAGTCATGTGACTATAACCTTCTAGTGCCGGACAGGCAGCTTGGGTTATCTGGAGTAATAATGTGTTAGCGATTTGAGGATGCACAAGTGTGTATGGAAACAGGTGCTTTATGTATGGCCGTTATTATACTTTATATATTCGGGAAATCCTACGAACTAAGCATCATCCATTATCTTTCAAGTGTACTATTTACGTCACTAGTTATTTACTTAGTAATTTTTGCGAAATGTATTCCACAGTTAAATTTTCATCAAATAAAAAAATCGGGCAAGAACCCTGTCCTAATGGTTTTTCAACAACTTACTGGACTTACAAAATCAAGAGTGAATTATTTTTTTGTATCGCAACACACGTAATCTCGGGTAAGCCATATATATATTTAAAAAAATCCATACAACCACATAACATGTGAACACAATCCATTTGTTAACATGCATCGACCCGAGTAACCCCGTATTTACATTCACTCTGTCTTGATAGGTCCCTGTGATGTGCTGCTGCTTGGAATCCGTGTACGGGTGGTAATGCCATCTATGTAGGTGTAGGTATCGTCTACTTATGTGTATACCGGGTTAGAATATTGATCTTCAGTAACCCATGCTTGTCGTAAGAGGCGACTGACGGGATCGGGTGGTCAGGCTATCTGACTTGGTTGACACATGTCATCGGTTCCTAATTGCGCAGATCGATGTTCATGCTGTTGATCACTGGATTGTCTGGTCCAGACTCGATTATTAACATACTGCCGCCATATAGCTGGAATATTGCTGAGTGCGGCGTAAAACTAGACTCACTCACTCACTACTTATGTGTAGACTATCATATATGTTAATCTAGGTATCTTCTATGTCGGTGTAAATATTATTATAATGGTATTTACATAGCGCTATGGTCCATCCCATCTACATGCATGCTCAAAGCGATTTGATTTTCCTCTCGATCACTGGATCATATTCGATCATATTTTCAAGGACAACTCCCTGGGGATCATATAACTCGAGAACCACAAGGCGCATCGAGTTAATGTTTTCCCATCCTTACGAGGTACCCATTCACAGCTGGGTGGACTGGGACACAAAGTCACAGTGCTTTGTCCAAGTTTACTGCACGTTGCTGTACCCGCAACTAGGTGTTTGCACGTATTCATGTGGCCACCATCTGGTCATATACCAACGGGTTAGTGAGTTGTTTTAAGTGCACAGGTTTGTGTACTGTACACTAGGGGTTGTGACAACACTGAAAGAATCTGCACACAAAGTTGACTCCGAGGATTTTACACCAACATATATTCTTGTGATGATAGGAAAGCAACAGAGTAACATGCAGCTTATCATGTGAACGTCATCGTTTCACACGGGTCCGTGTGTGCAATGTGTGCCTGTTTCGGGTGTAACAAGCCTCGAGGTTCCGTGAAGATCCGGGTTGGAGTTGATCTTCTGCGGCGTTGAACAACAGAAAAATACCAAATCATTTCGCCGATGACCTCGTTATGGTTCGTCACAGGGATACAATGTGTGAAACCTACTTCAGGGTTGTTCAGGGTTATTGCTGGAATATATCTAGTATATCTAAAGACTATAGTCATTTAATACGATAGAATTTGTAGGCGGGGCGTTTTACACACACCTTAAGGATAGCCGCCGATCAAACATTTCACGAGCGGCTTGATTTGGTTTGTTGTTTTACACCGCACTCAGCAATGTTCCAGCTATATGGCCCCTGTCTGTAAATAATCGAGTCTGGACCAGACATCCAGTGGTCAACATCATGAGCATCGATCTACACAATTGGGATACGATGACATGTGTCAGCAGAGTTAGCGAGCCTGACAACTAGATCCTGTCAGTGGCCTCTTACGACAAGCATGAGTTGCTGAAGACCAATTCTAACCCAGATCTTCACGGGTATACGTACGAACGGCTTGAACGAAAGCAATAGGTAACCTGTATGCTACTACACTACCGATCAAAAGAAAGCATACGTTAATGCTTGATCGTGGCGAATGAAGATATGGTTATTCGATGGTAATGTATGTGATCCCCCTGTCCTTGGGCCTAAGCGTTATAGTGTTTCTGCGAATGATTTCAGTCCATTAACGATTAGATAACGGTTATATATTTTTGTTGGTTTTTCATTTAGGGCAAATCCAATTTTCAAATGTAAACTTTAGTTTGTCCATAATTTATGTGTACCTAAAGGCATTCAATAAAGAGTATATAAGTGACGTATCTAGAATGAAAATGCATGTCACATGTTACTATAAGTCTGCTAGCCTTATACTGTGACTCAATTACCATTTCTAATATCTTAGTTACCTCGGCACTGCAACCTGACAACGATAAATATAGCGTCTTGACAAAAAGTAAATATAATGTGAAAATATCAGTTTCGTGGTCTTCAAAATGATTTTATTCACATTAGAATTTCGTCCGATCACGTGTCTACTATCGTCCGAGCTCACACATCCAGTAAGAACCACACTTCCAATGTCCCTCGGTACACGTGCACTCCTGGCAAGAATGAACGTAATACTCGCCGTCGCTGTAGATCTTCCCGTCGCGCGTGCACGATGCTGAAAGTTTCATAATATGTTTATCATTGCAGCAAATACTTCAATGTAATAACATCACCTACACAAGCAAGAAGAATAAACCCGTGAAGATCCGGGTTAGAATTGATCTTCAGTAACCCATGCTTGTCGTAAAAGGCGACTAACGGGATCGGATGGTCAGACTCGCTGACTTAGTTGACATCGGTTCCCAATTGCGTAGATTGATGCTCACACTGTTGATCACTGGATTGCCTGGTTCAGGCTCGATTATTTACAGACCGCTGACATATAGCTGGAATATTGCTTAGTGCGGAAAACTAAACTCACTCACTCACTCGCAAAAAGAGGTTCTGTTAAACGTGAATCAGATTGTCCAGATACAAGTTTGGATGGGAGACTGAGGATGAGAATCAATTGTATTTAAAATAATTAGCAAATATGGTTTTTTTGTGCATTTACATATAAACAGATCTTGAAAATATTTTACCGTCTAAGCAGCACAGTGAAATGTACAACTGCCGTTGTTTGCTTTAAATGTGTTCGGCAGGTTTGTTGTTGTTGTTGTTGTTGCTGCTGCTGTTTTTAGCAATATTCTAGCTGTATGGCGTCCGTCTGTTGATAATCGAGTCTGGACCAGACAATCCAGTGATTTACATCATAACCGATTCATGAGCATCGATAAACGCAGTTGGGATACAATGACATGTGTCAACCAAGTCAGCGAGCCTGACCACCCGATAATAGGTCGCTTAGCCGCCGCCGTATAGCTGGAATATTGCTTTGTGCGTCGTAAAACTAAACTCACTCACTCATTTTATGACAAGCATGGGTTGCTGAAGATCAATTCTAACCCGTATCTTCACGGGTTAAAAGATTGTCCAGATGCCATGAAAATGATAATACTATATTTTGAAATAGAAACGATACTCAGTCTCTAACATTGTTTTTTTCATTATCAATATTTTATATATATCTACAGGTAAGAAAACCAATTCTAACCCAGATCTTCCGGGAGGTAGCCTTACAGTGATGTTGTCAGCTTTGTGAAAACTTTTATGTACCCTTCGTATGTTTCTTATGCTAAAGGGCGGTGGGGTAGCCTAGTGGTTAAAGCGTTGGCTCGTCACGCCGAGGACCCGGGTTCGATTCCCCACATGGGCACAATGTGTTAAGCCCATTTCTGGTGTCCCCCGCCGTGATATTGCTGGAATATTGCTAAAAGCGGCGTAAAACTCTACTCAGTCAGTCAGTCTTATGCTAAAGTTATTGGATTGGATTTGTGTGTCCGCCCGTCCATCCGCCGCGAAGTCTATTAATGCTGAGTCAGTGAATTGGACTTAACACTGCCAGAGTTGAGTTGTTTAATGGCCTGACTGAAGAGAGAGTAGAAACAATCAACGTGACGTGTTAAGGATAGAGTTCAAACGTTCAACGTCGGATAAAATCTCTACTCCTTGTTTAGGGGTAGGGGCCGGGGTGTTGTACATCCAACAGAATCAGCTTACCTTTTTTCCCAATGTTTTATGAAGAAGCTAAAATACTAAAATATGAGAAACCTTTACATCTTTGATCTGATCAACCTTACCATGCTAAGGGGCTGTGGGGTAGCATAGTGGTTAAAGCATTCGCTCGTCACGCCGAAGACCCGGGTTCGATTCCCCATATGGACGCAATGTGTGAAGCCCATTTCTGGTGTCCCCCCGCCGTGAGACTGCTGGAATATTGCTAAAAGCGGCGTAAAACCATACACATGAACTCATTGTTAATGCTTACGTTTGGATGCTTGACGTTTCTTGCAGGGTAAGGCAACACATCTTGGGCCAGTGTCCTCACAAACACAATAGTGGCATCCGGTAGAGAAGGTGTCTCCTAAGGCATGGCTGACTCCCGCATACTCACACGTACTGCCTGGAACATGAACAGGTTTGTAAGGAATCTATTCTCACGCGCTTTAACATGAAAGCTACATGAAGAAGGTGTCGTGCCTTTCAGGTGTACAGTGAATGTTTCTGTCACATGGTACAGTGAATTACAGTTGTAACGAATACGGTTATATCAAACACGGGTATAAAGAACACGGTATATCGAACACGGTATATCGAACATGCTTATAACGAATACGGTTATATCGAACATCCTTATAACGAACACGGTTATATCGAACACGCTTATAACGAAGACAGTTATAACGAACAAGTTTATAATGAACACCATTATAACGAACACGGTTATATCGAACACACTTATAACGAACACCATTATAACGAACACGGTTATATCGAACACACTCATAATGAACACTGTTATATCGAACACACTTATAATGAACACTGTTATATCGAACACACTTATAATGAACACTGTTATATCGAACACGATTATATTGAACACACTTATAATGAACACCATTATAACGAACACGGTTATATTGAACACACTTATAATGAACAGCACTATAACGAACAAGGTTATATCGGACACACTCATAATGAACACTGTTATATCGAACACACTTATAATGAACACTGTTATATCGAACACACTTATAATGAACATCATTACAACGAACACGGTTATATTGAACACACTTATAACAAACACAATTATAACGAACACGGTTATATTGAACACGCTTATAATGAACACTGTTATATCGAACACGCTTATATTGAACACGCTTATAAGGAACATGGTTATATCGAACACACTTATAACTAACACGATTATAACGAACATGGTTATATTGAACACGCTTATAACAAACACGGTTACATCGAACAAGCTTGTAACTAACACGATTATAACGAACACGGTTATAACGAACACGTTTATATGGAACACGTTTATATCGAACACGGTTATAACGAACACGATTATAACCATCACGGTTATATTAAACACGCTTATAACTAACACGGTTATATCGAACACGCTTATAACTAACACGGTTATATTAAAGACGGTTATATATCGAACCAAATTATAATGAACACGATTATAACGAACACGGTTATATCGAACATGCTTATAACTAACATGGTTATATCAAAGACGGTTATATATCGAACACGGTTATAACAAACATGGTTATATTGAACACGCTTATAATGAACACGGTTATATCGAACATGCTTATAACGAACATGATTATAACGAACACGGTTATATTGAACACGATTACAAATAACACAGTTATATCAAACACGCTCATTAAGAACACAATTATAACGAAGACGGTTATATGGAACACTCATAATGAACACTGTTATATCAAACACACTTATAATGAACACTGTTATATCAAACACACTTATAATGAACACTGTTATATCGAACACGATTATATTGAACACACTTATAATGAACACCATTATAACGAACACGGTTATATTGAACACACTTATAATGAACACCATTATAACGAACATGGTTAAATTGAACACACTCATAATGAACACTGTTATATCAAACACACTTATAATGAACACTGTTATATCGAACACACTTATAATGAACACTGTTATATAGAACACACTTATAATGAACACTGTTATATCGAACACACGTATAATGAACACCATTACAACAAACACGATTATATTGAACACACTTATTACAAACACAATTATAACGAACAAAGTAATATTGAACACGGTTATAATGAACACTGTCATATCGAACATGGTTATATTGAACACGCTTATAATGAACACTGTTAAATCGAACACGCTTATATCGAACACGCTTATAACTAACACGATTATTAAGAACATGGTTATAACAAACACGTTTATATCGAACATGCTTATAACCAACACGGTTATATTGAACACGGTTATATCGAACACGTTTATAACGAACACGCTTATAACGAACACTGTTATATCAAACATGCTTATTAAGAACACGATTATAACGCTTATAATGAACACGATTATATCGAACACGCTTATAACGAACACGATTATAACGAACACTGTTATATTGAACACGATTATAACTAACACGGTTATATCGAACAGGCTTATAGCTAACACGATTATAACGAACATGGATATATTGAACACGCTTATAACGAACACAATTATAATGAACACGGTTATAACGAACACGCTTATAACTAATACGTTTATAACGAACACGATTATAACGAACATGGTGAAATTGAACACGCTTATAACTAACACCTTTATATCGAACAGGCTTATAACTAACACGGTTATATTTAACACGCTTATAACTAACACAATTATAACGAACATGGTTATATTGAACACGGTTATAATGAACACGATCATATCGAACACGCTTATAACGAACACACTTATAACTAACACGATTATAACGAACACGTTATATCGAACACGCTTCTAACTAACACGATTATAACAAACATGGTTATAATGAACACGTTTATATCGAACATGATTATAACGAACATGGTTATATTGAACACGCTTATAACTAACACGGTTATATCGAACAGGCTTATAACTAACACGATAATAACGAACACGGTTATATTGAACACGCTTACGCTTCTAACGAACACGGTTATATCGAACATGGTTATATTAAACACGATTATATCGAACACGCTAAGAAATAATACGATTATAACTAACTCGGTTATATCGAACACGCTTATAACTAACACGCTCATAACGAACACGGTTATATCGAACACGCTTATAACGAACACGATTATAACGAACACGATTATAACGAACATGGTTATATTGAACACACTTATAACTAACACGGTTATATTGAACACGCTTATAACTAACACGGTTATATTGAACACGTTTATAACAAACACGATGATAACGAACATGGTTATATTGATCACGCTTATAACTAACATGGTTATATTGAACACGCTTATAACGAACTCGGTTATATTGAACACGCTAATAACTAGCACGTTATATCGAACACGCTTATAACTAACACGATAATAGCGAACATGGTTATATCGAACACGCTTATAACTAACACGGGTATAACGAAAACGGTTATATCGAGCACCATTATAACGAACATGGTGATATCGAAGATGCTTATAACTGACACAGGTATAACGAACATGGTTATATCGAACACGCTTATAACTAACACGATTATAAAGAACAAGGTTATATCGAAGACACTTATAATGAACATGTTATATCGACCACGGTTATATCGACCACGCTTATAACTAAAACAGATATAATGAAGACGGTTATATCGAACGAGCTGATAACTAACACCATTATAACGAACACGCTTATAATGAACACTGTTATATCGAACACGGTTATATGGAACACGCTTATAACGAACACGGTTATATCGAACATGCTTATATTAAACACGGTTATATCGAACACGCTTACAACTAAGACGATTATAACTAACACGGTTATATTGAACATGGTTATATTGAACAGGCTTATAATGAACACGGTTATAACGAACACGCTTATACCTAACACGGTTATAACGAACACGGTTATATCGGACACGGTTATAACAAACACGCTCATAACGAACACGTTATATCGAACACGCTCATAACGAACTCGCTTGTAACAAACACGATTATAACGAACATGGTTATATTGAACACACTTATAACTAACACGGTTATATTGAACACGCTTATAACTAACACGGTTATATTGAACACGCTTATAACGAACACGATTATAACGAACATGGTTATATTAATCACACTTATAAGTAACATGATTATATTGAACACGCTTATAACGAACTCGGTTATATTGAAAACACGCTAATAACTAGCACGTTATATCGAACAAGCTTATAACGAACACGATAATAGCGAACATGGTTATATCGAACACGCTTATAACTAACACGTGTATAACGAAAACGGTTATATCGAGCACGATTATAACGAACATGGTGATATCAAAGATGCTTATAACTGACACGGGTATAACGAAAATGGTTATATCGAACACGCTTATAATGAACACGGTTATATCGAACACGGTTATAACAAACACGGTTATAACTAAAACAGGTAAAATGAACACGGTTATATCGAACAAGCTGATAACTAACACGATTATAACGAAAACGGTTATATTGAACACGATTATAACGAGCACGGTAATATCGAACACGCTTATTAAGAACACGATTATAACGAACACGGTTATATTGAACACGATTATAACGAGCACGGTTATATCGAACACGCTTATTAAGAACACGATTATAACGAACACGGTTATATCGAACACGCTTATAACTAACACGGTTATATTGAACACGCTTATAACTAACACGTTTATATTGAACACGCTTATAACTAGCACGGTTATATCGAACACACTTATAACTAACACGATTATAATGAACATGGTTAGATTGAACACGCTTATAACTGAACTCGATTATAACAAACATGGTTATTTTGAACACGCTTATAACTAACACGGGTATAGCGAACACGGTTATATCGAACACGATTATAACGAAAAGGGTTATATCGAACACGTTTATAATGAACACGTTTATAATGAACACGGTTATATCAAAGACGGTTATATATCGAACACGGTTATAACAAACATGGTTATATTGAACACGCTTATAATGAACACGGTTATATCGAACACGCTTATAACTAACACGATTATAACGAACACTGTTATATTGAACACGCTTATAACTAACACGGTTATATCGAACATGCTTATAACTAACACGGATATATCGAACACGGTTAAATTGAACACGCTTATAACTAGCACGATTATAACGAACATGGTTATATTGAACAAGCTTATAATGAACACGATTATATCGAACACACTTATAACTAACACGGGTATAACGAAAACGGTTATATCGAACACGATTATAACGAACATGGTGATATCAAAGAT